TGGTCGGGCCCCCATTGTGGGCAGGGGGGAAGGGCTTCTCAGAAGGAGGCTGGTTCTTAGACGGCGCGGGCCTTCTCTATAGATGAAGGGCCGGCGTCTTCCAAGAAGCAGCCTCCCTCTGAGAAAGCCTCCTCCCCTCCCCCATACCTCCCTCTTGGTGCGCGCCGCCAGCGTGCACTGCCCCATGGCCAGACCCACAGCCAAGACGCCGAAGCAAGGACCGCTCGGGGCTCGGGAGGGCCTCTGCTGGGGGGGGGGGCGCTCCGCAGATCCGGGTCCGGGAGCCCACTCGTAGCGCTGAGGCCCGCTGTGGCCGAGGAGGAGCCCCGCCGCTCCTGCTTCGGGCGCTCCTTTGGATAGCACGGTGGCGGCACCCTGCGCCCAGGAGCCGCGCACACGCCACACCGCTCCCGGGCCCGGGATGCGCCCTGCCAGGGCCACGTCGGGCCTGTCCCTCGACCGGAGGAGTACTCAAAAACAGTAAGAGAAGAAGCAGTCTGGGGGCGATGTTTCACAGTATGCTTGGCTATGTGGGCGTATGTTTTGACTAGTCTCCAGGTGTCGTCCAAAAAGCCGCCTGTAGGAGGACAAGCCCGACCGAATGCCAGGGGACCGTGGCTCTGTACTCCAACTTTTATAATAAAGGGGGGGGGTCACAAACCTCCCAGACGAGCCATTTTAGACCCCCCCCCGTCTGGGGCGACCTCCATCAAAAGTAGCCCCCCCCAGGACGTGCCAAGACGAGACGATCCAGACCCCCCCCTTTTATTACAAAAGTTGGAGTATACAGCTCCCGCCGCCCGGAAGAGGAGGCCGCCAAGGAGCAGCGCGCCGAGAGGCAGAGGGCCGCCATGGCGAAGCGGGAGCGGGAGTCCGAGGAGGCGCTCGCGCGCTCCGTGGAGGCCGCGCGGGCGGAGCGCGTGGCGCTGGACGCCGAGAGGGCGGCCGACAGGGAGCGCGAGGAGGAGCGCGAGGTGGGAATTTTAGACATGGCCACCGCCCGAAGGATCAATTTTCGAGGACCTCGGCAAGCGGCGGACATGGATATGTTCGGGCCCCTGGGGGCCAATATATATATATATATATATATATATATACACACATGTAAATATACATGTCTATATATATGCACAAGATATTGTTGGCTCGCTTCGCTTCGCCACAACATCTTGTCCCTCATCCTCATCCTTGGCGCAGGAGCGCGGGTCTGGTACCTCGCCGCGCTATGTGGTCACAGAATGTGGCGAGCTCGTGAACTTTCATTGCCATAGGGGTGTAAACTTGATGTTTGTCGCGAGCTCGACGGCTCAGGGCTGCGTGGGTGTGCGTTTTTGTAAGGAGTGAACATGTTAGGAAGTGAAGAACCACCCGACGGGCCGAACCGATTTGTGGTTCACGTCGACGGCTGTTTTTTTTCTTCGGGGCCCCGGATGGGAGCGTCTGACGTTCTGCGGGCACGCTGGCGCCGAGGGGCCGTCGTGTGCGTGCGTGTGTGTGTGTGTGTGTGTGTGTGTGTGTGTCTGTTTTCGTAAGGAATGAGCATGTGCGCGGACGCAGAGCCACCCGACGGGCCGAACCAATTTTTGGTTCACGCTGACGGTTGCTTTCTCTTTTTCGGGCCCGGGATGGGGGGCGTCTGGCGCCCTCCGGGCACGCTGGCGTCGAGGGGCTGTCGTGGGCGTGGGTTTTCGTAAGGAAAGAGCATGTCCCGGGGCGCGGAACAGCCCGACGGGCCGCACCAATTTTTGGTTCACGTCGACGGTTGCTTGTTTTTTTTTTCGGGCCCGGGATGGGGGGCGTCTGGCGCCCTTTGGGCACGCCAGCGTCGAGGGGCTGTCGTGGGTGGTTTTCGTAAGGAAAGAGCATGTCCCGGGGCGCGGAGCCACCCGACGGGCCGAACCAATTTTTAGTTCACGTTGACGGCTGCTTGTTCTTTTTCGGGCCCGGGATGGGAGGCGTCTGGCGCCCTCAAGGCACGCTGGCGTCGAGGGGCTGTCGTGGGTGTGGGTTTTCGTAAGGAAAGAGCATGTCCCGGGGCGCGGAGCCACCCAACGGGCCGAACCAATTTTTGGTTCACGTTGACGGCTGCTTGTTCTTTTTCGGGCCCGGGATGGAGGGCGTCTGGCGCCCTCAGGGCACGCCGGCGTCGAGTGGCTGTCGTGGGTGTGGTCTTTCGTAAGGAAAGAGCATGTCCCGGGGCGCGGAGCCACCCAACGGGCCGAACCAATTTTTGGTTCACGTTGACGGCTTCGTTTTTGAGAGCGTGACCGGCCGGCCAGCCGGCGCGCGGAGATGTTTTTCGAACGTAGGCTCACGTTGACGGCTTCGTTCTTGAGAGCGTGACCGGCCGGCTGGCCGGCGCGCGGAGATGTTTTTCGAACGTAGGCGTCGCGCGTCCCCCCGCGCGGCGCAGCGGTTGGGGCCGTGCGGGGCGTCTTGGAGGCCTTTTGGGGCGTCTTGTGAAGAACTGGGGCATCTTAGAGCGATCTGTGGGCGTCTTGGAAGGCTTCTGGGGCCGGTCGGACCAGCTTGGCGGTAATTTCAGGCATTCTCGGGGTGTCTTGAGCCCGTCCGGGGGGGTGGCGAATTCGGTGAGGCCCATCCCGGGGGGGGGGTCCCTTATCATTCGATAGGGAGAAGGAATATATCTATATCTCTATAGCTATATATATATATATATATATATATATCCAGATCCACCGCCTGTTAGGGCAGCAGGACGTCGGTTCCCAGGCGGTGGATATGGATCAATCCCCGCCTCGCAAGGAGCGCCGCAGGCTGAGGGAGGCGTCCGGTCTGGCCGTCCCGGCGCCGCTGCTGCAGCACCTGGACGACCTCTCCAGCGACTCGGAGGACTCGGAGGACGAGGACGGGAGCCCCGTGCGGGAGTACACGGGCTCGCCGAAGATCACCCGGAGGTCCTCCGCGAAGCACTCGGCCTGCGGCGACGGCCCCGAGCTGCTGCGCGCTGCGGTGTCGGTGCCGGAGCTGCTGGAGGCCGCCTGCGACCCCTTCGTGACGGAGTACCTCTTCCTGCGCGGCGCCTGGGCTCCGCACCGGCCCTCGCGGGCCGACGCCCGGGCCGCCGCGGCGGAGCGGGGCGGCGGCGGGGGGCCCGCGGAGGCCGGGGCGCCGCAGCTCGGGGGGCTCGTGCGCGCGCTGATGGCGCCCAGGCCCGCGCCGCCTCCGGGCGCGGCCGCGGCGCAGCTTCCCCGGGACTACCTGCCCGTGCTGCTGCTCGGGGGCAGCCCCATGCTGGCCCGCGGCGAGGGCGGCGGTGCCCTGCCCGGCGCGCTGGCCCAGAGGCTGCGCGAGGAGTTCCAGCTCGCGGTGGTGGACCTGCGGAGGGTGGCGGTCGCCGGGGGAGGGCCCAGAGAGGACCGCAGAGAGCTTCGGAGCGGAGGCTCGGCCTCCACTCTGGAGGCTGTTCTCCTCCCCACTCCCGGCGGGTGTTCCTTTTTCCAGAAACGAAGGTTTGGCCTTCAAAGTGGAGGTTCCCTCGATCCTCGGAGAAGAATCGAGCGTTGTGCGCACAAACTTTCGGAGGCCCGCGCGGATCTCGTGGGCCGGCGCTGGGCCGGCCCCCATGGCGCCGATCCAAGAGATATCAGTGGGCCTCCGAAGGTTCAAGTTTGTAAAGCCGTCGGCTTTGTAAACTTAATCCTTGGGGTCAGATCTGGGTCCGGGGTCCTTTTCGTGGCCGAGGCTCGCCGTGCCCAGAAGAGCTCAGGACAGCACGATGGCAGTATGCCGTGTTTTTTTTTTTTTTTTGTTTTCTCTCCCTCTCTCTCATTCCCTCCTTCCAGGTCGAGTGCCTGGAGCTGGCCCGGAGCCACGAGCAGGAGCCCGAGTGGCCTGTGCTGGCGCGCATGCACCAGCTCGGCCGCGAGGTGCTGCAGCTGCGCGAGGAGTGCGGCCGACGAGATCTGCACATCGACTGCCTCTGGCCAGGCCCGTCCTGGGCCCCGGAGCGGTGAGCATGCCTCCCCGGTCAGGCCGAGAGGAGGGGTGTGCACGCACGGCTCCCGGGCCCAGGATGGGCATGGCCAGGGGCGGTGGACGTGCCTGTAGAGCTGAGATCTCTCGCGCGCCCCAGGAGTGCGAGGCCGAGCGGCCCGTGCGCGCGGGCCCCCTCGTGGTCCCGCTCCCGCCCGGCCTGTGCGCGGAGATGGTGTTCCGGAAGATCGAGCTGCTGTCCGCGCCCCCGCCGAGGCCGCCCGAGGTGGACAGCGGCAAGGACAAGAAGAAGGCGGGGAAGAAGGACGACAAGAAGGCCGGGAAGAAGGGCGAGGAGGAGGACGAGGACAGCGGCGTGAGGCCCAAGGGCGTGGTCGTGGTCGACTTCCCGGCGGACGCCGCGCAGCTCGCCGCCTGGGAGTCGGCGCTGCGCGGGTACTCCTCGCCGCTGCTGCAGGTCCTGGACAGCGATGCCGATAAGCGGCTGCAGCTGAGCTCGGTGCTGGTCCCCTTCTGGGCGGACGCCGGCCTGCGGGTGCCGTCCGCGGAGGACCCAGGCGATCAGGCTCTGCTGCCGCCCGCGGACGGCATCACGGAGCCGCCGGTGGCGAGCATGATCCGGCTGTGCCCGGCAGACGACGACTCGCTGCGGAGGATGGTGCTCGCCCAGGCGGAGGACGCCTTCTTCGCCGCGGAGGAGCCCGTTGCGACCAAGGCGCCGTCCAAGGCCGACAAGGGGAAGGAGGCCCCGCCGCCAGAGCCCGAGGAGCTGCTGGTGTGCGCCGGCCTGGGCGAGGAGCTCTCGGGCCTGCCTGCGCCCGTCGACCGGGCCTGGCTCTACGAGGACGCGCAGGCGCTCGCCGCGGCGCTCGTGGCCCCGCTCGGCGTGCAGCACGACGTGCGCGCGCCGGCGCCCCCCGCGGTGCCGCAGGCCGACGACGAGCCCGTGGAGCCGGGCGAGCCGTTGGAGGAGGTCTGCTACAGGAGCGTCCGCGAGCTCGTCGCCGCCCAGCGCGGGAGCGCGGCGCGCGGGGAGGCGGCCGCGCCCTGCGAGGAGGCCGGCGGGGGCGCCGCTGAGGCAGCCGAGGGCGGGAGCGCGGAGGTGCCCGCCGAGGGCCTCCCTGTCGACGCGCAGCCCGGGCCTCCGGGAGCCTCGCCCGCCCGCGACGCGGCCGGGTGCTGGGAGGGCCTCGACCGCGAGACCCAGGCGCGCATGCAGCAGGCCTGGAACGAGACCATGGAGGACTACTTTGTCGCTACCAGGAAGCAGCTTGGCCTCCTCCGCAGCTCGTCGGCCGGGTGGGCGGAGAGGCTCGTTCGCATGCAGAAGCAGTTCCTGGAATTCTTGCAGTCCCCGGACGAGAAGGAGCAGATACTGGACCAGTTCCTCGAGCAGTGGCCCAAGAACCGCGCGAGGCTGTCGCAGGAGGAGGCCCTGGAGGAGCTGGACGAGCTCTCGGAGCAGCTGTGGCAGGTGGCCGACAAGCGCCGAGCGCAAGCACTGGACGAGCGCGTCGCGCTGATGGAGGGTGGCTTCTGGGAGTCGGAGGCGGGCGCCTGCCTGCGCCTGGCCGAGGGGCAGCAGCGCCTGGAGGCGGAGCGCTTCCGCACCGGGGCTCTGCTGCTCTTCGAGGCCTACGGCCTGGAGCCGCCGCCCGAGGAGGCGCTGGGGGCGCCGACGAGGCAGGACCGCGGCGGCCGGTCCTCGATGGCCGAGCTCGCCGACTGGCTGCGCACGTCCACCGCCAGCCTCGCTGGCGGCGACCTCGCGCTGGTTTGCGGGCTCGACGCCGGCGGGGAGGCCGCCTGCGGCGTCGAGCGCGAGCGCCGCGAGCGGCTGTGCTCGGCACTCCGGGCGGAGCAGCTGAGGCTCTCGGAGCGCCTGATGGCCCTGGAGGGCTGGGCCAGCACGCAGCTGAAGGCGATGCGGTTGCAGCTGAACGGCGCCTTCGCGCACATGGACGACTGGGTCAGGGAGCGCGTGACGGCCGAGAACCAGGGCATCAACGCCATGATGGAGCAGCTCCGCGCGACGGACTGGTCCGAGGACTGGGCCGGCGCCTTTGGGGCCGGGGGCGCGTCGCCCTGCCTGTCGCCAGCCGCCTCCTCGCACCTGGCGGGGGGCCGGCGCCTCTCCAGCCAGCTGGCGCGGAGGGCCACCGAGCGGAGCCTGAAGACCACCAGCCTGGCCCGCAAGCTGCGGGCGGAGCTCCAGCACGCCATGCGCCCGCAGCCGCTGGACGCCGAGCTCCTCAACCCCGCGGAGGCCTGCGGCGGCCCCCCGCAGCCCGCGGCGACCCGCGGCAGCCTGGCCTCGCTGCCGCCGGGCCTGGAGCACCTGTGGACCATGGACATGCTGCGCGGCCTGCTCGGCCGCCTCGCCAAGCGCGGGGGCGGCGCGGGGGCGCTCGCGCCGGGCGCGGTGCTCGAGGTGCAGGAGGGGAAAGCAGGCAAAGACACACATAAACGTCGACCCCCATGAAAATGTGGGAAGGCAGGGAAACGGAGGAAGGCGGGAATCCAGGAAAATACGAACAAGTATCGGGAATCCTGGGATTTGTGTTCATTTGTTTGTGTCTCCCTGGGCCCCTTTGCAGGTGATGGCCGAGTGCCGGAACCTCACGCTGAGCTTCGAGGCGGAGCTGATCCCCCAGAGCTGGGCGGCGCGCTCTGAGGGGTGCCTGGCACTGCTGTGCAGGTCGCTCACGCGCCCCGCATGGGGCGCGCCGCAGGCGAGCGTCGTCGCAAAGCGGGCTCGGCTGCACGGACATTCGCACGCAAGCTCCCCGCGCAGGGTCGCGCGTAAGCGCTCTCGTATCCAGTGCAGTGCTGCGCTGGCGGCCCGCGTAGGCCACCGCGCAAGGTCGCTGTGTCCTCGAACGCCATATCATTATTGTTGTTGATATTAGGATTAGCAGTATTATTCGTATTATCAGTGTAATCATTGTTAGTATCATTATTAGTAATTCTACTACTAATTGTACTCCTTTTTGTTGTCGTAGTACTATCATTATTCATCTTCTTATTCGTACTAGTATCAGTATTCGTAGTACCATCATTCGTAGTATTATTTGTATTATTATTACTAGTAGTTGTAGCAATAGTAGTAGTAGTCGTCGTAGTAGTCGTTGTCGTCGTTGTCGTCGTCGTCGTCGTCGTAGTAGTAGTAGTAGTAGTAGTAGTAGTAGTAGTAGTAGTAGTAGTAGTAGTAGTAGTAGTAGTAGTAGTAGTGGTAGTAGTGGTAGTAGTTGTAGTAGGCGTAGCAGTAGTAGTACAGTAGTAGTAGTAGTAGTAGTAGTAGTAGTAGTAGTAGTAGTAGTAGTAGTAGCAGTAGAGTAGTAGTAGTAGTAGTAGTAGTAGTAGTAGCAGTAGTAGTAGTAGTAGCAGTCGTAGTAGTAGTAGTAGTAGTAGTAGTAGTAGTAGTAGTAGTAGTAGTAGTAGTAGTAGTAGTAGTAGTAGTAGTAGTAGTAGTAGTAGTTGGTGTATTGTTATTATGGGTCTTCTGTTTCGTCGCTCAGGTGGACGTCACGGAGCTTATGCTCACCCTCACCATCCACGTCCGGCAGATGGCGTGGCCCAGCCTGGACGTGCTGGAGGCCTCGCGCCGCGCCCTGGAGGCCCAGCTCGACGCCGACCAGTTGCCCGCCTGGCCGGACGTGCCCGTCTCCGAGGACTCGGGCGGGCGGCAGTGTTGGGGTTCCGTAAAGGGAGGGGTTATCCCAAGGTGGGGCTGGGGAACGGGCCCAGCTGGATGCTCCCGTTTCACGCGCTGCCTTCTCCCAGGGGCCGTTGGGAGCGACGTTCCTTCCAACCCCACCGCTGCCCTGACCCCACCTCTGTCCTCCCCCCACGACCGCCCGCCCGAGAGGACGCGTTCCTGCAGTTGCCGCTGCTCGAAGAGATGCTGGAAGCCGAAGAAGAAAAAGACGCCATAAGCATAAACTCTTGGCGCTCCGCGCGGGTTTCTTGGATCTGCGCTGGAGCGCCCTGGCGGCGTCCCTGGCGGCGTCCCTGGCGGCGTCCCTGGCGCGCTCCGCGCGCCAGAGAGGGGGGCCCGGCGCAGCAGATCCAAGAAAGCCGCGCGGAGCGCCAGGAGTTCATGGTTGTGCCGTGCTTTCGTCCTCCTCCCAGGAAGGCTGCCCCACGGACGTGAAGGGCGGCCTGGGCGAGCGCTCGCGGGCCATGAAGCTCTGGCTCTTCCAGCTCCTCGCCGGCCTCGAGGGCGAGGGCTGCGGCGGCGCCGCCACGGTCAGCGCCCGCCGCATCTTCTGCTACCTGGGCCTGGGTTCGTCCCCCACGGACGCCGGCCACGCGCAGACGCGGGGGCAGCAGGGAGGAGGAGGAGGAGGAGGAGGAGGAGGAGGAGGAGGAGGAGGAGGAGGAGGAGAAAGGAGGAGGAGGAGGAGGAGGAGGAGGAGGAGGAGGAGGAGGAGGAGGAGGAGGAGGAGGAGGAGGAGGAGGAGGGGGGGAAGGCCTGCTCAGGGGCAGTCCCTGCTCCTTGGATGGCGCGGGCCTCGTCCGCAGGTGTGAGGCCGGCGCCTTCCAAGAAGCAGCCTCCTTTGTTCACGCGGCATCGCTTGGACGCGTGCCTTTTTTCTCGGCGAGGGCCATCGAGGAACGTCCTGGATCATCGCGAGCACAAGCCGACAAAAAGCACGAGGAGTGGACGTCCGAGCGACGACAAGGCGAAGGAGCCTTCCCCCCTCCCCCCTGACCCCCCCTCCGCGCGCCGCCAAGGACGGGCTGCGGAGGGCGCTCAGGCTGCTGCTGCCCGCTCCCCACCCGAAGGGTCAGGACTCCAGAGGGAAAAAACCACACCGACACAAATACGGTGGCGGCGTTGGTTAAAGAATCCTCCCAGGAGGCTTCGGACCCTGGAGGATTTCTTGTGTAACGAGGGCGGATGGCCGATCCACGATTGGAGATGCTCTGGCTTCTAGGCGCTCGACGTCTTACCCAATGGTTCCTTATTCAATGCCCTCACCGTAATCGTCGATTCCCAGGAAACGATAGGAAAATAAGTGAAGTGGGGAGGAGACGAAAGCCAGGAAGATGTGATGCAAAATTGGCAATCCTGGGATTTGTGTCTAGTTATCGGTGTGTCCCTGGGCCCCGTCAAGGATGAGGACCAGCAGGAGCCCCCGCGGTGGCGCATCCACGACTTCTGGTGCGCGCTGTTCGGGTGCAGAGGCCGTCCCGCCGGTGCGTCGGCGGAGCCGCCGGCCCTGGCGGACTTCGTGAAGGATCTGCTCGTCGCCAAGCGCGAGGCGACCCCCGCGCCGGAGCTCGCAGGCCCTCCCGGCATCCTGAAGGGGCTGTGCGTTTGAGAGGGTCTCGTGAGAGTTTCCGGCTAGGCGTGAGAGTGGCTGTTCGTTGCGGTGCCCTTTGGTGTTGGCGCGCTGGCGTCCCCAGATGGCTCGGGGGTGGACAGAGAGCCCCCACCCTGACACGTCGATTCGTGAATTGCCCGTTCTTAGTTCTCGAGAGGGCGCCGCGGCCATCATTTTCCAGGCTTGCGCCCGCCAGGATTGGGCCAGAGGTCGTTTTCACTAAACCACGTTTTGCTTAAGGGGGTTCTGTCCATCCCATCATCGCTGGATGCGATGCGGTAGCAGCGGCTTGCGCGCTCCGGTCCGCCCCCGCCGCGCCCCCCGAAAGTCGCGCACCAAAGGTCACCCTTGCCTGGGGTCCCTCTTGCGTGTAGCCGAGACTGGCCAGTGCTGGTCCATCGGATGAGATGTCTCGTGAGATTCTTCCAAATTCCTCTGTCTTCGACCAGGATTCCCGATGTCTCTTCAAGATCTCTCTCTTCAGGCCCCTCCCTCAAGCGTCACCAGGTGTACCCCGAACTCCGCCCAGACTCCACCAGGACGCCCTGGGCACTATCAGAACTCGGGCGATCCCTCCCCACGGCCCAAGCGAGCTCTGCCGAAGGATTCTTGCGACCCGCCAGGGTGTCTGACATCCGCCGAAGTGTTTTTTTGAATCCGCGGCCCCAGATGTCCCGACCGCTTCCTCAAGGGTCTTTTGTCATCCCAGACCCATTTCTGGAAGCTCCAGTGCCCGATATCGGACCCTGGAAGCCGAAATGAAGGAAACATGCCACGATTGATCAAGTACAGTCGGGGCGCTGAAGAAGGAACCATTTTCGTTGGGGAGGGGCTCGGTGTTCCTTGATTGTTTCAAAGTTTGCCTCGGGTTTTCCTTCGGTGTTCCCCATGGGAAATCGAAGGTAACCTATGGGAAAAAAGGGGCCTCATTCCTTATTCAGGGTTCCTTGGGTCAACGCCCCGACTGTATTCGACGTGGAGATCCCCATCTGTGCATCTCAGCCCCTGGCTCTTCTTCCGTCTGTGGGCGTCCGAGTGGCCGAGTGTTGGCCTGGTGGCGGCTGAGCGCTCCCTGGCGCCTCCCCTCTGGAGTGCCCAGCATGCGATGCGTGCTACATTCGGGGCTCTGACCTAAGGAACCCTAAAAAAGGAACGAGGCTCCTTTTTTCCATAAATTAAACTTCGATTTCCATCGAAAACATAAGGAAACCCTGAGGCAAGCTGTGAAACAATTAAGGAACACGGAGCCCCTCCACAACGAAAAGGGTTCCTTCTTCAGCGCACCGACTGTACACCGGGATGATCCCGAGACTCTGAGAGAAGGTGGGTCGGCTGTGCCCAAACAAGTTTTTGTTTGTGATCGTTCTCTGATTCATTGTTTTGCCGATCGGCGCGGGCCCTCGTATTTCCCCCCCCCCCCCCTTCCCCCCCCATGGAGTAGATGTTGCTTGTTTTTGGCGCCTGTTTCGAGCAGGTGGAGTCGACCTCATAGGACGTGCGGTTCCAAACAGTCGCACCAAGCAGAGGTCCTGAGCCAGACCCCCACCCCCCCCCCCTTCCGCCCAATGCCGAAACGCCGAAAAAGAAAACCCTGACTTTTGAGAGGTCCCGAGATCTGGGCGCGAACAGGCAAATGTAGCTCCCCCTGACTGCTCCCACTTGGGTTGTACACATGTTCTGCCTGTTGCATCGCGGTGATCATGGGCTCTGCACGGAGCGGAGTCGAGGGTACACAGACCAGCGAAACATTTTCTACACAGCCGCGATACAAGCTTCATCAACTTGTTTTGGCGAAGATGTCTCCCATCCCTCTTCATATGCCTCACGTGACGATGCGGGCGTTATTCGGCGGAGTAGTTTCCGACCCGCCTGATGTTTAACCCTGTTACCCCAAAACTGGATGGGAAACTACTCCACGCCGCACTTTAGAAAGTATCGAGCGCGATGCACCTGCGCGCGGAGTAGCTGGAGCACTCTTACTCCGAGCTGCTCCGCCCTGCTGCGCTGTTGGCGGAGGCAGACCGAAAGAAGCTCTCGCCACGGTGACGGAGGCATCCCCACAATCCAGGTGCGAGAGGCAAGTGCGACGCGCCCTGGCGGCTGCTCCTTGGGGTGCCCCCGAGTGATTCGCCTGCTGCGTCGGAGCCATCACGAGAGGTCTGCAGTCGCGAGGAGTCGGCGGCGCCAAAAGGGAGCGAGCCGCTCGAGTCCCCCCCACAGTCCGCACGGCCTGGGCGCGACCGGGCCAGTGTCCCCCCCTCCGTGACTGCCTGCCGTTGGGGTGCCCGAGTGCCCCGCCTGCCCTGTCGCGGTGATGCTGGGGCTCTCCAGAAGGGGAGGGGGTTGGCCCCACCAGACGAGGCAAACATGTCGGGGCATCCCCACAGTCGAGGCTCGAACGGGGACTGGCCCCTCCCCCGGCGGGTCACCGTTGAGGTGCCCAGGTGCAGCGCATGCAGTGTCGCGGGTGATCATGCGGATCTCCAAAGAGGGGCTCGGGCCACCAAAGGAGAAAACCGTCCGAGGCATCCCCGCAATCTGGGCGCGAGCTGGAAAAGAAATCGCACTTGGTGGCTCCCCCTTTGGGCGCCCAGATGCAATGCCTGCTGTGCCGCGGTGGTCATGGGGCTCTCAATATAGAGAGGCCCGAGCCACCAAACAAGCAAACGGCTTCAGGCATCTCTGCAATCTGGGAGCGAACTGGGACATGATACCGCCTCGGGTCTTTCCTCGTTGGGCGCCCAAATGCCATGCCCGTGGGGCTCTCGAAAGACAGGGGGCTGAGGCACCAAGCGAGAAAACCGCTTGAGATTTTCCCGTAATAAATAAGAACGCGAATTGGGAAATACAACTACCCGTGGCGGCTCCTCCTTGAAGTGCCCTCTTGCCACGCCTCGTATGTCGCGGTGAGCAGTGGACCCCCGCGAAACAGAGGAGCCAGCGGGGCCAAATCATCAAGAATGCGTGTGCGTGTGTGTGTGTGTGTGACTTTCAATTTGAGTGAATCCGATAGGGAGCAGGTCTTAGTCTGAGTACACCTATACGTACGTTTGCCTCTGAATAGGACTACGCGTGCATATGAGTGAGTTTCACTACTAGTGAGGCTGCGTGTCAGTGTGTCCGAGTGTCAGTGAAGGGGTCTGAGTATGACTTGGCCGAGTATGGGAAGATTTGAGTGGGAGTGGTCTGTGTATGAGTGGGCCTCGCCACTTATGAGCGAGTCTGAGTTGTGAGCCCGAGCGTGGGCAAGTCTGAGCACGAGCGACCCGAGAACAGACTGGCGGGAGGAGGCGAGGGGTGGGAGGCGGAGAGGCGGAGAGGCGCCACACTGCTGACCAGAGCCCCACCGGAGCTGCTGGGCCCGAGAGCCCCACGACGCCCATAGGTGCCAAGGTCGCCAAGGCCAAGTCCAACGCGAAGCCGAAGGCGGACGCGAAGGCCAAGGCCAAGCCGGGCAGCAGGCAGGGTGGGCGTACGCCCTCGCCCACGGCCGACGAGGACGACGACCTGCCCCCGCCGGTGCCGCCGGAGGAGGCCACGTGCGCACTCGAGGAGGCGGCGCTGCTGCGGCACCCGCAGGTGGTGAAGGGCCTCTGCAGCCACGGCGCCCTGCTCTGCCGCAAGGCCTCCGCCGCCAGGACGTGCCCAGAGGCGCCCCTTCGGAGTCGTGCCCTGGGGCCTCGAGGAGTGGTGGGCATGGATATCCCAGAGGAGGAAAAGCAGTAATATTACCGCTGCCCTCCGGCCGTTGTCCCCTCGTGGGCCTCCCTTGGAGGCCTTCGCCGCCGCCCGCTGGCTTCGCCTCGAGATTCTGGCCAGAACGCACCAAGGGAGAGGCCCAGGGAGTACATAGTGGCGTCTCGGTACCTTCCTGATTCTCCCGACATCTGCCCGCCCGCCTGGGCGACAGCTCCGCCGCTCCCCGAGCCCCCAGACACGGCCTCAGCGGCAGTGGCTGTGGGCATGCTCCGGCGGCACGAGGCCCGGGCCCTCGACGTGCTCTTCCCGCGCTCCGGCGAGGGCCTCGTGCCGGTGCTGTCGTCGCAGGAGGCCGCCGAGCTGCAGGGCCTCGAGGCGCTGGCGCCGCCGGCGGAGGTGGCTCCCGAGGACCTCGGGCCTGGCCGAAAGACCGCTACGCGCGGGCCCCGCGGCGGCGAGAGCCGGCCAGAGGCTGCCGAGGGCCGCGGCCGCGGGGCTTGCCCCGCCCCCCCCCAGCCCCAAATGAAGCCTCCTCTGTCTCCCTTCCCCCTCCTTTTTTTTTTTTTGTTTCTCTCTCTCTCTCTCCTCCTCCTCCTTCCTCCTCCCGCTTCCTCCTCCTCCCGCCCCCCTCCCCCCTCCTCATCCGTACCCTTCCTCTTCCCCCTCCTCCTCCTCCTCCTCCTCCTCCTCCTCCTCCTCCGCCTCCTCCTGCTCCTCCTCGTCATCATCATCATCATCATCATCATCATCATCATCATCATCATCATCATCATCATCATCATCATCATCATCATCATCATCATCATCATCATCATTTTCCCCATCCCTCTTCCGTCTGAAACTCTTCTTCCCTGTCGCACCACCAGATTTGAAATTAGGGTGGGCCAGGCCTCTGGCTTGAGATGCCCTCGCCGTTTACGATCAATTGCTTTTCTGGGATACCCAATCCTTATACGCATAGAGGGTACATCGTTTTCAAATGGGGCCCTCACATTGGCGCCGCATGCACTCGTCTTGGGACCATCCAACAGTTACACGAATGAAGGGCGAATTGTTTTCAGCGAAAGCGATTCACAAAGGGGGCTTCCGTTCTGGCGCCGCGCACACTCGTCTGAAACATGTCTTCCAACAGTTACACAGGTAGAGGGCGGGCCGTTATCAGAATGGTGAAATCGCTGTGGCGCCGCGCATACTCATTTCAAACAAAACCAGCCGCTACACGGATGAAGCGGTTCCTTCTCAAAATGAGGTTCTCGCCTCAGTGTTTTTTCCCGGAAAGGGCCTGGGCCCAGGGTTCTCTTTTAGTTGGTAAACCTAATCCCCCGGTGCCTGCTTGAGGGAGGCCGGCGAATTTTTTCCCTGATAAATAACGAGGTCGAAGGAGGCCGGCGAATTAAAATTTGAGGATGTCTCGAGCGAAACGCTTGTTTTTGAAATCCCGATCGATAAATCACAGGGTGCGGGCCACTTTTTCGTGTGTTGAGGATGTCTCGAGCGAAACGCTTGCTCCGCAGAGTTTGCCGAGGATGTCTCGAGCGAAACGCTTGTTTTGCAGAGCCGACCGCGACGCGGAAAAGCGCCCCGCGCGAAGGAATTTCGATGATGTCTCGACTAATTCTTTGTTTTTGTACGATTTCCTGGAATTTTGGCAGGATGTCTCGAGCGAAATGCACGACCCCACCCTAGCACGACCATACCCCAGCACGACCACACCCCAGCACGACCAGACCCCAGCACGACCCCACCCCAGCACGACCCACCCCAGCACGACCATACCCCAGCACGACCACACCCCAGCACGACCCGACCCCAGCACGACCCTACCCCAGCAAGACCACACCCCAGCACGACCACACCCCAGCACGACCTCACCACAGCACGACCACGCCCCAGCACGACCACGCCCCAGCACGACCACGCCCCAGCACGACCACGCCCCAGCACGACCACCCCCCAGCACGACCACCCCCCCAGCACGACCACCCCCCAGCACGACCACACCCCAGCACGACCACACCCCAGCACGACCACTCCCCAGCACGACCACACCCCAGCACGACCACACCCCAGCACGACCACACCCCAGCACGACCACACCCCAGCACGACCACACCCCAGCACGACCCGATCGATAAATCACAGGGTGCGGAGCACCCCAGCACGAACCCACCCCAGCACGACCCCACCCCAGCACGACCCCACCCCAGCACGACCACGCCCCAGCATGACCACACCCCAGCACGACCACACCCCAGCACGACCACTCCCCAGCACGACCCCACCCCAGCACGACCCCACCCTAGCACGACCACACCCCAGCACGACCACACCCCAGCTCGACCCCACCCCAGCACGATCACACCCCAGCACGACCCACCCCAGCACCCCACCCCAGCAAGACCACACCCCAGCACGACCGCACCCCAGCACGACCTTACCACAGCACGAGCACACCACCCCAGCACGACCACGCCCCAGCACGACCACGCCCCAGCACGACCACGCCCCAGCACGACCCCCAGCACGACCCCCCCAGCACGACCACCCCCCAGCACGACCACCCCCCAGCACGACCACACCCCAGCACGACCACTCCCCAGCACGACCACACCGCCTTGGTTGAGTGGTTGCCTGTCGTCGTGGAATGTTTCGTGGGGTGTCTCGTGGAATGTTTCGCGGGGTGTCTCGTGAAATGTTTCGTGAGGTGTCTCGTGGAATGTTTCGTGAGGTGTCTCGTGGGCTGTTTCGTGAGGTGTCTCGTGGGATGTTTCGTGAGGTGTTGCCCAGTTGGGTATCATGAAAACGTGTCCATGCTCCACATGTCTATATCCCTTTCCGGGTTCGTGGGTCCATCATGTTTGCATTGATTCACCACCACAAACATAGCATCGCCACCTGAGACTGCGATCGATTTCTAAGACAATGGCGAACCGTGAGCTCCGAGTCGTGCAGCGCTTACTTACGCGGTTGGTGGGCGGCTCCTTTTCAAAGCGGCGTTTTCGCTGGGATGTTCCTCAGATGTTGTTCCTTGTGGCTCGGCGGACAGAGGGCCGGCGCTTTCCTTGTGGAGGACGATCAATGGAGAGGAAGCATGTTGCCAAATACTTTCCAGGTGTCTAAAACATGTGTTGAACATGTTTTAAACACGTAAAACACATGTTAAAAACATGTTTAGGGCATGTTTCCGACATTTTGAACACATTTTAAATTCAATGATCGGACTTTTAGGGTGTCCATTGTCGTGGCATCCACAACGCTTTCCACACTGCGCTCCTGCCCGAGTTGCGGGAACAGGGGGGTGCTCGTCTTTCAAGGTGGGCGCTTCTCGCAATGAAACACAAGGTCTGCAGAGACGAGTGATGAGGGGACTTGTTGGGGCGGGAGGGCGTACTGCAGCAGCGTTGGCACATCGTGTGTTTAATCTGGTCCTCATCCCTCGCCGTCCTCCCTCCTAACTCCTCCAGCGAAGAACGCCCCCCAGTCGCTCCACCAGACGCGTCCGTTGACCGGGATCGGCGTTTCGATTGAGATTCCCCTGCAACTTATTGCACTGAGGCTTCAGCTCCGACAGCTACAAGCATTGAAGGCACGTGCTTTTCAAAATACATGTCTCGCCTTAGCGCAACGCGCGTTAGTCACAAGAAATCTCCCACAGGGATGGAGGGCCAATCGTTTTCAAATTGCGATTCTCGTTTTAGCGCCGCGCACACTCATTCTACCCAAGATATTCAAATACAGATGGCCGATCGTTGTCGACATACAACTGCCGCCTCAGCGCCCCGCCTATCCGTTTTCTAAGATTCCAAGTGCTACGTATAAGGATGGAAGCCCGGTAGATTTCGAAATGCGGATGTGGCTCCAGCGCCGCGCACATCCGTTATCAAAGTTGCCAACCGTTACGAGGATGGAGGCCAGCTGGCTTTCAAGAGTCGGGTATCGCTTTAGAATTCGCCGCATTATGTGACCCGGAAGCCCGCGTTGTGAAACAGCTGCGCGGATGTAGGGCGGCTCCTTCTGAAAATGAGGCTCTCGGTCGAGACTGCGGCGAATGTTATCAACATATCTTTGAACTCGCGCATGACCCACACGATTGGAGGGCAAATCGTTTTCAAAACGGGGTTGATTGCTGGACATCCCTTTGAGAAGAGTCATCTCGCTTCTTTGTGCTTCATCTAGCTAGAAGGACGGACCCTCTCTCCTCCTCTTCGTCCTTTCTTCCTCCTCCTCCATCTCCTCCTCCTCCTCCTTCCTCCTCCTCCGCCTCCTGCTCCTCCTCCCCCTCCCCCCTCCTCCTCCTTCTCCTCCTCCTCCTCTTTTTCCTCCTCCTCCTCCTCTTTTCCTCCTCTTTTTCCTCCTCCTCCTCCTCCTCCTCCTCCTCCTCTTCCTCCTCCTCCTCCTCCTCCTCCTCTCCTCCTCTCCTCCTCCTCCCCTCCTCCTCCTCCTCCTCCTCCTCCTCCTCCTCCTCCTCCTCCTCCTCCATCCTCCCCCTCGTTTTCCTCCCCCTCCTCCTCCTCCTCCTCCTCCTCCTCCTCCTCCTCCTCCTCCTCCTCCTCCTCCTCCTCCTCCTCCCCCTCGTTCTCCTCCTCCTCCTCCTCGTCCATTCCTTTTCCTTACAAATAGCTCTCCCTGTCGCACCCCAAGGCCAGTTTTTAGGGCGGCCGGGCGTTTCGCGTGAGATTTCCTCACCCTTTATGACTTTGAAGCTTATTGAAGCATGGCAGCATTTTCACACATAGAGGACGGGTGGTTTTCAAAATTTGGCTCTCGCCTTTGCGCCGCGCACATTAATTTTAAGCATGTGCAAGCATTTCACGGATTGAGGGCGACTGGTTCTCAAATTGTGGCTCTCGCCTTTGCGCCGCGCACGTTTAAATACTTGCAAGTGTCTCACGGATTGAGGGCGGGTCCTTGTCAACATGGTGTTCTCGCCTTAGCGCCTTGCACATTCGTTTTTGTTTTAAGAATGCAACAGTTTCACGGATCCCCATGATCAGCGCACCAGAAATAGCGTTTTGGAAGGATTCTGGATTGTGCGGCGCAACGGTTGCATTGATTCGCGGTGTTGAAGTCTCAGGAATGGCGTTCTGGCACGATTCAGGATAGTCCAGACGCAACACTCAAGTTGATCCGTGGCGTTGGAATCCCGAGACCAATGTTTTGGCATGCCTCAGGGTCTTCAAACGGTTGTCTTCCAACGAGGCAGTTCCCTCAGTGGAAGTGACCCGTTGTAGGGGCCTATGAAGAGGGAGCTTGGAGGGAGGGTTTATTCCAACATCGTTGATGACTCTTGGGTTTACACTGGTCCTCCTCCTCCTCCTCTCCTCCTCCTCCCCCTCCTCCTCCTCCTCCTCCTCCTCCCCCTCCTCCTCCTCCTCCTCCTCCTCCCCCCTCCTCTCCTCCTCCTCCTCCTCCTCCTCCTCCTCCTCCTCCTCCTCCTCCCTCCTCCTCCTCCTCCCCCTTCCTCCCCCCTTCCCCCTCCTCCTCCTCCTCCTCCTCCTCCTCCTCCTCCTCCTCCTCCTCCTCCTCCTCCTGCTCGTCCTCTTCACTTCTCTTCCTGATAAATGTTTTTTCCTCTCCTCTCGCAACACCAGGCGTGTCGGTAGGGCGTTTCGGGCGGCTTGCCAAGCCTTCCTCACCATATACTACACATAAGCTTAAGATTTCCAGCCGCTACACGGATGGAAGGCGTGGCTTCTGAACTTTCGGACTTTACCCCAGTGCCGCACACATGTTGGCGGTTATTTTTCAAAATTAGGTTTTCGTCCTGCGCTGCGCACATTCGGATTGACGTCTCCGACAGGCTCAGGGCTGGAGGGTGTTTGTTGCCACACTGGGTTGCCGCGTGGTCCTCGAAGTGTAAGCCCCGAGGCGAAGTAATTTAACTACGCATGCAGCAAGCAGCGCATGGAGGGCGGCTCCTGCCCAAAGCGGGGCTGTCGCGGGACACTTCCCTCAGCGTTCTGGTCCAGGCGAGTGCCTCAGGGCCGCTCGTCTCTTGAAAAGCGGAAGCTCTCGCCTGCATGGCAGGACCGTAGGGCGCTCGACTTTCGGGGGGCGCCTCCCGCAGCACAGCTTGGGTGTACTGCGGCAGTGCTGGTGCATCCTGGTTTTGCTCCGGTCGTCGTTTGATTTCTCCTGCCCCATCCCTTTTCCTTGTGGCTACCTCGTCCTCCTTGCCGCACCCCCAGGCGTCTCGGTAGGGCGGGCCAGGTGTTTCGCTCGAGACTCTTTTGCCACTTATGGTCCTCAAATTTGAGATTGGCAACAGCTTCAAGAATGGTGTGAGCGTCGTTTGTAATATGTGGCTCTCGCCTTAGCGCCGCGCGAATTCGCTTTCAAATGTGGCAACACATTCAAAGAGGGATCGCTGGTCATTCGAATAAACTGGCTCACGCCCCAGCGCCGCGTGCATTCGGTTTGGGTCGTTAAAAAAGTTGCAGCAGCTTCAAATATGGAGGCCGATAGGTTTTCAACATGTGGTTATTGCAACATCTTGCAACGGTGCCACGCACATTCGACTTGAAAGTTTGCAGCAGCTTCAAGGATTGATGGCGGGTTGTTTTCACGATATTTCCGCACGGTTGAAGTCCCAGGTATTCTGACACGGTTTAGAGTTATCAGAAAGCAGCAGTCACATAATTCGCGGCGCTGGATATCCAGGAATGGTGTTCAGACTCTATCTACGATTGCCAGGCCGGAACAGTCAAGTTGATTCGCGGCGGTGAAGTCTCAGGGGGTGTTTTTTGGTACGGTTGAGGATTCTCAGACGGTTGTTTTCAGATGGGGCGTTTGCAATGGGCAGAAGTTCTTGTAGGGACCCACGAAGAGGAACTTGGAGGGAAGGTTCAATGACATCGTTGATGCGTCTTGGGTTTACACTGGTGCTTCTCCTCCCCCTCTTTCTCCATCACTTTTCCTTACAATTAACTCCTCCCTGTCGCCGCCCCATACGCGTCGGTAGGGCGTGCCAGGTTTTTCGCCTGAGACCTCCTCACCATTCACGATCCTGCTGTTTGAATTCTGCAACTGCTTCACGGATGGAGGGCGGGTAGTTTTCAACATGTATTTCTTTCATTAGCGCCGGGCGCATTCGTCTTAAAAGCTCGAAGCAGGTTCACGGGTGGAGGGCGGTTCCTTTTCAAAATGAGGTTCTCGTTTCGTTGCCACGCGCATTTTGAAATTTGCAGTAGCTTCAAGGATTCGTATGGCTGACGTCCCAGGAACGGTGCCCTGACACGATTTAGGATTGCCAGGACGCAAGAGACAAGTTGATACGCCGTACTGAAGTCCCAGAAATGGCGTTCTGGCACGATGTAGGGCTGTCAGGTCGCAACAGTCATGTTAACTCGCGACGCTGAAGTCCCATCTGGTACGATTGAGGATGTTCGCACGGCTGTCTTCCAACGGGGCACTTGCTACAATGAAACCAAAACGAATTATTATAGTGACCTATGAGGAGTAGTTCGGACGGAGTTCATTGCAACATGGATTTGCACAGGTCCTCCTCCTCCTCCTCCTCTTCCTCTTCCTCCTCTTCCTCTTCCTCCTCTTCCTCTTCCTCCTCTTCCTCTTCCTCCTCTTTCTCATCTTCCTCCTCCTCCTCCCCCTCCTCCTCGTCGTCCTCCTCCTTCCTTCTCCTTATATATATATATATATATAACTCCTCCCTGTCGCACCCCGAGGCCAGTTTTTAGGGCGGGCCATGCGTTTCGCTTGAGACTTCCATACCATTTATTATTATGAAGCTTTTGTCGCGACAGCAGTTTCATCGATGGAGGGCGGGGGGGGTCAGAATGTGGCTCTCGCTTCAGCCCCGCGCGCATGATTTAGGGCGGGTGGTTTTCAAAATGTGACTCTCGCTTTAGCGCCGCGCACAATCGTTTTCAGAATTTGCGAGAGCTTCGCAGATTGAGGGCGGGTGGTTTTCAAAATGTGGCTCTCGCCCGAGCGCCGCGCACATTCGTTTTGCAATTTTGCAAAAGCTTCACGGATTGAGGGCGGCTCCTTTTCAAAATGTGGTTCTCGCTTTAGCGCCTCGCACATTCGTTTTGAAAACTGCAAGAGTCGCACGGATTCAGGGCGGGTGGTTTTCAACATGTGGTTCTCGCCTTAGCGCCGCGAGCATTCGTTTCAAACATTTGCAAGAGTCATGGATTGGGGGCGGGTCGTTTTCAAAATATGACTCTCGCCTTAGCGCCGCGCACATTCGTTTACAACATACAAAAGTTTCACGGGTTGAGGGCGGCTTGTTTTCCAAATGTGGCTCTCGCTTTAGCGCCGCGCGCATTCGTTTTCAAAGTTTGCAAGAGTTTCACGGATCAACGTACCAGAAATGGCATTGTGGAAGGATTCAGGAGTATGTGGGCGCAACAGTTATATTGATTCGCTGTTTTGAAGTCCCGAAAACGGCGTTCTGGCACGATTCTGGATCGTCAAGACGCAGCAGTCCGGTTGATACGTGGCGTTGAATCCCGAGAACAATGTTTTGGCACGCTTCAGGGTCAAACTGTTGTCTTTCAACGAGGCGGTTCCCTCAATGGAAATGAACAGTTGTAGGGGCCTATGAAGAGGGAGCTTGGAGGGAGGGTTTATTCCAACATCGTTGATGACTCTTGGGTTTACACTGGTCCTCCTCCTCCTCCTCTTCCTGATCCTGCCCCTTCTCCTCTTCCTCGTCGTCGTCCTCCTCCTCCTCCTCATCATCATCATCCTCCTCCTCCTTCTCCTCCTCCTCCTCCTCCTCGTCCGCCTCCTCCTCCTCCTCCTCTTCCTCCCCCTCCTCCTTCTCCTCCTTCTCCTCCTTCTCCTCCTCCTCTCGCGGGGGGAGGGGGGTCCCACTGCCCTTTGGTTCACATTGGGGGCCACCGCGAGAGGACCCCTAGGGCGGCGCTCGGCCCTGGACGCGGCAAGAGGCCGGGTCGAGCTGGGCACCGCGCGCGCCGCCACCGGCGCGGCCGAGGGGTTCGTTCCCACTGCCTCCTGACGGCCCTGCAAGCCCCCCCTGGCGCTCGCCGCGGCCCTCTGGGGGCGAGCAGCGCCGCCTGTCGCGCCGCGCGCCGCCGCGGCGCTGCCGAGAGGCGCTTTTCACCGCTTCCTGCTGACGGCCTTCGTCGCCCCCCCTGGGGCGCTCGCGGGAGCCGCAGCCCCCCCTGGGGGGCGAGCAGCACTGCCTGCCTGCCGCGCGCGCGTTTGGGCGCCGCGCCCTCTGCCCGGGCTGCGAGAAAGCCATCCGCGCGCGCATCTCCGAGGGGCAGCGATGATCGGGGGAGGGGCTGGCACAGGGGGGGGGGGGGGGACGCATCGACCTGGAGTCGGCGATGCATCGCCGGTGGATCGGCGCGATAGGCCCCCGATGGCGAAGCCGCACCTTCCTGGGCGGGGTAGGGCCATCGGGCCCCTGTCGGTGATCAAGGGGCGATGGGGGGTCGAGGCATCCCCCCCCTTATGCTTGTGGAGGACGATCAATGGAGAGGAAGCATGTTGCCAAATGGTTCCCAGATGTCTAACACATGTGTTCAACATGTCTAAAACATGCTTAGAGCACGTTTCCGACACTTTAAACACACATTTTAAAGTGCAATCATCGGACTGTTAGGGTGTCCATTGTCGTGGCATCCGCAACCCTGTGCCTGTCCCCCCCTACAGTCGGCCCAGATGAGCAGGTCGACTCTGCCAAATCAAGGGTACCCTTGTGTCCTGCGTCTCGCGACCCGTGCCTCCTGCAGGTCTTTGGCAACGTGGCCCTCGGAAGGGTCTTGTGTCCTCTCGCGTGTCCTCTCCAATCAAGTCCGACTGTACCGGTGATCGGTGGGCGATTGGGGGTCGGGGCATCCCCCCCTGTACAGTCGGGGCCCTGAAGAAGGAACCCTTTTTCGTTGGGGAGGGGCTCCGCGTTCCTTAAGTGTTTCACAGCTTGCCTCAGGTTGTCCTTATGTTTCCGATCGGAAATCGAAGTTTAACTCATGGAAAAAGGGGGCCTCGTTCCTTATTTTGGGTTCCTTAGGTCAAGCCCCCGACCGTATGCCTATCCCCCCCTGTCGTTGCCCCCGAGCCTCTGCCCCTGGGGCTCCTCTGCTCGCTCCTCGCCTCTGCTGCCCCGACCCTCTGCACCTCGCCGCGCCTCGCTGAGCCCCAAGAGGCCCCCAGAAGGACCCCCCCCAAAAAAACAAACAAAAAACAGTAAAAATCAAAAAAGAGGTCCCCAGAAGGACCCCCCCCCAAAAAAACAATAAACAAAACAAGAGGCCCCCAGAAGGACCCTGGAGGCCCCAGCAGGACCGCCAGGGGCTCTCCCAGTACCCTCGTCAAAACCGTCTTCAGAGGCGCGTTGCGTGCGACGTATTTGTTGGGGAGCCCACTCGCCCGTGTCGGTCGTGCGAGATTTGAAGGGGCGAAGAGCAGCGACATTGCAGGGGCGCGTCAACAGCTTCTGAGTTTCATGGCGTCGAGGCTTGCAGGCCCAGAGGGGGTCCGGAAGCCCCAGGCGGGCCCAGAGGAGGCCTTCGGACCCCCACCAGACGGGGGGCCCATGGAGGCCCCGGTGGGGGCGGCCCGCCGATTCCGCCACAGAACGACGCACACTCACACGCACACGCACACGCACACGCACACGCACACGCACACGCACACACACACACGCACGCACACACGCACGCACACACACACACACACGCACACGCA